TCATATTCAGATTAAAATCAAGGTTTTTTAAAAAATAATTAAAGCAGACATGCAAGTTCTAACTCAAATTTGTTAAATGTTATTAACAAAATAAGCCAAAATATAAGATAAAGGCAACAAATTTAACCATGTAGCTTACTGAAATTCATGTATTACAAAACTATTTTATTAAAATATTCAGAAATAAATAGTGTTAAACTCTACAGTCCCCTCTTTTCAGTAACTACCAAAATTTTAAGAAATATACAGACAGAAAATGTAAGGTTAACATATTGTTACTCCAGTGGCATCCCTTTGAGTTTAAGATCACTTGTTTACAATTGCTTGGATCACCAACGTCAGCCTAGGAAGAGAAACAGATACTGCAAGCAAAAAGAATTTTCACAGCCAAAAGTTATGTCTTTGGCAAAACAACAGGGAAGTCTAACCACATTATTAGAAAGAATTTAGTCATTTAAAATCAAGTCAACAGTAACAAACAACATTAATATTACAATTTACCCAACTAATTGCACAGCGTATTGTAAGAATTCATAGACTATTACAATATTTTACATGCAGTTGTACATTATATACTATCAAAATAAGGACTGTGCAGAATTACTTAATAGGAACTATCCATGTACTGCAGCATGGTTTTACAGGAATATGTCTTTAGCAAAAGCTGTTACATCCCTCAAAGAGCTCACTAGCGGCCTTGATTTTTCCCTTGACAGTTTTACTGCACAGGTTAAATTCTGACATCTTGGCTAAATTTATGTTTGACCAAACAAACTCAGCCTTAGTGCCTCCCATACCTAACTCTGAACTATTTTAGAATCAGTTATAAACACGTTCACTAATCTTTCCAAGGAGACCCCAACATTCTATAAAACCGCTAACTGAGTTTGAGGAGTCAGTGTGTTTCACTGCTGTGAAAATTATTACAAAAAAAAAACAACAAAAAAAAAAGCAAGCAAGCAAGCAGACAGTGGACATGGAGCAGCACCTGCGTACGTACAGGACCCCTTGCAGCCGAGGGCAAGGTTACTTCGTCCTACGGTACAGACGGTACAGCTCGCCGGGCTGGCGGCCAGAGCTGCCACTCTCTGCCCGCCAACACCACTGTGCTCCTCAGAGTGGTGCCAGCTTAACTCAATCACACCAATATTGCTGCCACCACCTGTGACAGGGAAAGCAAGAAGCTTATGGAAAACACACAGCCTCCAGACAGCAATGTACACATCCCCCTCTGCTCCACTACAGAGCCAAACCCCAGAGCGCGGCTGTGCTCGCCGCGGTGGACAGTGCCTCTGAGCACTCCCGCAGCAGTGATGGCCACTGCCTCAGCTGGGCTTTTGAGGCTCCACCACACTGCCTACAGAGCCCCTGCAACCAGGCTGAACTCCCTTTCTGGTCTGCCCTAACTCGTCAGTGCCAGGAGTAGCTTATGGCATACATGCATTACCTGCACTGCTTTCAGTTCTCTAGCAGGGCATTAGGATGGAAGCAAAACCAGTGTGCTCCTCTTCCCTCTAACTCTCAGGTACTACTGCCATTGGTAGGGGGAGACAGAAGTGTTTTTGTTCAGCAGGAAATGCCCTGACTGGCTCCAGCTTTGGGAAGTCTTTCTCATTGAGCATGAAATAGGAAGGACAAAGTCAAAACCAAAATAGTTTTATGCATTAATCTAAGTATCTTTTAAGACTGGCAGCTTTAGTGGTCTTTGTTTTATGCCATGACCCTGTGCAGACCTATTTCTCCACACTTACAGCCTCTTCAACTAAAAGCAGTGCAAGTTCCATTCACAAATCAGGGTCTCAATGCACCATTTGCCAGTTTAATTTCATGCACTTTCACATCATCATCAAACATTAGAAGTTCATGACACCGAGCACAAGCTTAATGTTACTGAGATTTAAAATGATTATGCACACAATTCGGGCGAATTAAGGAACAAGAAACTCTGACACATACTGCTTTACTAGCTCCAACAGAACAGAGGATGGAGGAGTCTGGAGAGAATGCACAGCCATACACCCAGTTCGGATGGCCTCTCAGCACCTTCATCATGTTTCCTAAACAGAAAGGCATTGCTGTAAGGATTGGTTAAATACTACAAAATTCAGATGGGAAAGCTTTTCAAGTTAGTTATTTCTTTGCGAAATTTTGTATTATTTTCCCAAACTTCTTGCAGAGTCATTCTACACAGAAATAAAACCCCTGGGATGAAGCCTCTACTTCCATGTCCCTATTCAGAAAGGTCACTTCATGCACTCAGCCCAAAACCTGCTTCTGCCTCCAGGGCTCAGACAGATAAGGAATTCCAAGGGGCTGCAGAGTGAGTGACTAAATAATTCCAAGTGCACAGTGAGTGACTAACAGAACATTGCAGTTTTTAAGCAATCCTGACCAAACTGAGTCTAGAGCAATAAAAGAGGTGAGTACACGGGTGCTTCTCCCAGGTATAAGAGCAGATAAAGCCCAGACATTACCATCATCTTTCAGGTCCCACACTCGCAGGGTTTTGTCTCTGGAAGCAGACACAAGAATCAGGCTGCCATCGGGGGCAAAGGTTAAATCTCTGACAACTTCTGTGTGGTCCATCAGGTTAAGGAGGAGTTTTCCTGTTACATGAGAACACCACAATTTAACATGAAGGACTATTGTACTTAAATCAAATGGTTTGTGGACACAAATACTGAATATAAAATTACTACATGTAAAGACAATTTTCTTTGCAGAAATGCTGCCTACAATGAACAGCACATGGATCCTTTCACTCTCCTGTATCAAGAGGTAACTCCTGGAAAAGCTACAAAATCTATATACTAGAACCTCAGAAATAAGGCAAGACTTGTCTTTTGATGGACATACCTGTTCCAATCTTCAATTTACAAGGACAGATGACTCAAGTCATTATTTTTCTGAACTGAGTTCTCTCCAACCGAGCAGCTGTGCTACCAGCAAAATGGAAAGTCCCTAAGTTCAGATTCAGTCTTTTGGAGTCATTAATTTTCTTTTTAAAAAGAAGATAAAAGGTCCTTATCAACATAAGCCAGCAATTTCATGCTTTTAAAGCATGGTAAAACTAGGAAGACTGTTGAGTAAACAACCAGTGTATGTACGCACACATTTAATCATTTTGCGTCTTCCATCTCTCACACCTCAAAGCATGATGTGCCTCTCTTGTTCCTTTGGCAGCTTTTTGTTACTTCTAGTTGCAGGAGCTCATGCTTTTTAAAGATTTTTTTCATTTGCATTGAAGGTCAGTTCCCAGTTACACGATTCCTGGTGTGTGCCAACAATATTATTACTGCAAGAAGCGTGAGCTGGCACCTGGGCGTGACAAGGGACGTCTGGACAACGCTCTCAGGGACACAGGCAGTGCTGGGGGTCCTGGGGCAGTCCAGGAGCCCGACTGGACGCTCCCAGTGTGTCCCTGCAGCTCAGGACCTCCCTCTGCCCTCAGCTGCCCTCCACTCACCCGTGTAGACATCCCAGATCTTGATGCGGCCGTTGTTGAGGCCGGTGGCGAGGAGCAGCTGGTCCTGCCCGAACTTGAAGCGGTGCCACTCGATGTTGACGCAGCGGCTCTGCTTCTCGGGCACCGAGGAGCCGAAGGCCAGGCTCCACACGATGTCCCCGCAGTCGATGACGTGCTCGCAGGGCCTGCTCTTCTGGGCCGCCTCGCTGCTCGGCCGCGGCAGCCGCGCGCTGCCGGCGTTGGCGCCATTCTTGGTGCCGTGCAGCAGGCTGCAAGGCAACACACAGCACGGTCAAACAAACCTTTCCTGGGCCTCATGGGGCCTGCGAGGTGTCAGGATGTACATCCCTGAGGTGTAAAACGGTGCGTTTTCACTTTAAAATTAGAAAAGTGGCTTTTTCTTATAACTGAGAACAACTGCCAGCACATGGAAACCTTCCAACACAAAATAATGCTAATACTCTGCAGTTTTACCTCTGTAGAGAGCAAGATACTAACTTAACCTACTGCAAAATCCAACAGTTTCGAAGCATTTACAGAAAAATGAGCCACAAAAATTTCCAGAATTTTCTGCTAAACAGTTACTGAGTGTCCAGCACATGGAAAGCAATTAACCACCCCCAAACATGGGTCAGAGAAATGTAACCAGCTACAAAACTGCAGTGGCCAGCTACCAACTTTGCTAACATGCAACCTGCACGTGCCAGTAAAATGTGTGCTTTGGAACTCCACTTGCATTCGAACAAGGATGATAAGGAAAGAGGTCTGCCTTTAAGTAAATTTCTAAAAGGTAAAGCCAAACAGCATTGTGATAGGAAGTGTAAAGGGCCAGATCTGCCCACGTTTCTAAATTCCCTTTTCACACTAACTTCCTCTTATTTTAGAGTGTCTGAATTGATTAACAAGTCACTCCTCCACAGGCTTTGTGAAGTTGCAATAGCTGTTCCTCTTGCTGGCCATACAGGAAGAGACAGAACAGCTATTATTTTAAGGAATTCATTTCTCCCCAAGGTGTCAAATCCTACAAGAGCAACACATGCGTTTTAACAGATTTGAAGCTATCTCCTGTTTTTCAGGTGCACCGAAAGCCAGAGCAGTTTCTCTTACAAGTTGTTGAGGCACTGTGCCCAGGGGACCAGCTTCACTATGCGATGTCCCTGTGACCACGCCAGGTACGAGCCATCGGGAGCGAACGCGACCGTCCAGTTCTCCCTGCCGCACTTCTTGTCGAAGGGAGACGTGGGGGCCAGGAGCTCTCCTACCGTGCGCGACCGAGCTGGGGACAGAGGAGATCGTGAGAGGGAGACCCGGGAGGGGGACACCCGGGAGGGGGAGACCCGGGAGGGGGAGACCCGGGAGGGGGACATCCGTGTGCCTCCTCACACCGGCTGCCCGGGCACCCGCGCGTCACCCCGCTTTGTTTCACGGCGATCAACGCCATCGGGAGGGGGCCCGGTGTCACCGCATAACCCAGCAGGGCCGAGCCCCTGCAGGGGAACACGCGGTGCCGAACGGGCTGCTCGCACCGTGCGCGATGCCGCAGCCGGTACGGAACGGGCGATGCGGCCAGGCCCGCGCCTGCCCACGGCCAGAGAACGGGCCGGGGCCCACGGGAACGGCTCCGTGTGCCGGAACGGGCTCTGTGTCCCGGGAAAGGCTCCGTGTGCCGGAACGGGCTCTGTGTCCCGGGAAAGGCTCCGTGTGCCGGAACGGGCTCTGTGTCCCGGGAAAGGTTCCGTGTCCCGGGAAAGGCTCCGTGTGCCGGGATCCCCCCGTTACCCGCGGGCAGCCCCGGGCGCGCTGCGTGCGGGATGGGCGCCCTGCCCGGCTCTGCCCGCCCTGCCCGGGCCGTTCGCGCCCCTGCCCCGGCCCGCTGCCCGTGCCCGGCCGTGCTGCTGTCGCGGCCCGGCTCGCAGCCTGCCCCCGTCCTCCCGCCGTGCACCTCCCTGGTTCAGGGGCTGGAAGTCTCCTACTCTGTAGTGTTACTTTCTATACGAGTGTAGTTCAGCATTTAAATCCAGCAGGAGCTGGTTTATGATCAAATTTTGGATTTGCTGTTAATGAAGTTGTTCAGAAGGAGCTTGGAGAAAGAGATCCTGAGAGCCCCCCATGCTCTGTGATTTTGTATTAACATCTCTATACATCCCTCTCTCCATCCATTACCTCTTTTCTCTTTTTCCATATCTAAATTCTGCCCCTCTTTGGCAAAGTGACTCCTCCTTGCTCTGTCTGTGGACTTCAGAGAAGCACGCAGCAGGATAATTAACTGCAGATAATAACTGTGATTTCATTCCAAAGCAGTGGCCTCACTGGCAGGCGCATTGCAATAGCCATGCGATCAGCTATTCAGCTGTAGCAAGAGCCCGGAATTACCCCAGTGCGAGCAAGGCCAGCAAAGCATTATTTAAATTATGCAGTGATACAATGTCAAAGAAAGGAGCAGGGAGAAGTTCGGCATGTTCTTGATGATGTGACCACTAGCATGGATTCGTGCTGGCTTGTATAAACTCCCCTAGCACATCACAGAATTTATTTGAAACAGCACAATCCAGTTCCTGCTCTGTCCGTCCCCCACTGCCAGCTGAGGGAAGAGCCCTGAGCAGCTCCCTGCAGCTAATCCCTGGACAACTCCTTGGAACAAGCCAGTGAATATTGTGAAATGCTGCTTGGAATTGCTCATGGGTCGTGGATGTTTGAGCCAGGCCAGCCCAGAGCTGAGCTGACTCACGTAAGGATTCTCTGGAGGGTCTGAGCTTTGCTCAGAGCCAGCACACCCTGCTGACCCTGGGGGTCTGACAGCCAGCAAAATGCAGCTTTGGCTCACTCAGCTTCACAGGGGTGTTACCACACTGCTGCCTTTCTCACTTCTTGTTCTCCAGTCCACATTTTGTGCTTTATGGACACAAAAACAGAGATATGTAAAACCCCAGGGGTTTGCAAGCTTGTGAGAAATTGTTTGGTGTCACAAGCTGTCCTGGGGACATTGGTAGCACCTTCTCTGTTCGGGCTGGAAGGGCTTGTCCTTGTGTCTGAAGCCAGAGAGGGAGGGGTGAAAAGCTGTGTTCTGTCTGCAAGCTGCCAGCTCATCCCCTCTGCTCAGTAAAATGCATCTGTCCGAAATTCAGTCTAAACTTGAGATAAAGGAGCCACACTTTCCTTCCTGGGGACTCTTGCTGTGTTTATTTTCCTGGCAAGTGGCATATGCAGGGTGATTTTTCAGATGATTTTCAGTTGTTCCTGGGTGAGGTGTGGGATCCAGGGTGTCACAGCCCAGGCTGTCACAGCCCAGGCTGTCACATACTGCAGCGGGTGGCTCGGGCTGATTTATGGGTATTCCATTATCTCCCTTTAGGGATGCAGCTGCCAAGCCTGCACAGGGCTGCTCAGCTGGGAAGCTCACAAACTTGGTGCCATCTTTCTCCATCCAGTCTTTACTCACTGAAATAAGCTTTCATAAGAGAGAGGGCTTTTGTCCTTTTTGCCTGTCCTGGAAACACCTTCAGGGTTCCAGGCTATGGAGCTTTTCCCCAGGCTGCTGGAGCATCAGGACCTGGTGATTTCACATTCCTGTATTCTGACACGGTGAATTCAGTTCTACCTATTTTCTTTGCTTTGTCTTTTCTTTTTCAGGCCCAAAAGTGGTGTTCCTCATCCTCAATTTGTTATTCTATGAAGCACTCCTGGCAAATTAGTAACAGTTAGGGCCAGTCACACTTAAATCCGAGGTAGCTCATCTGTGCAATAGTGCTTGCCATTAAAAATTATGCTATTTTTAGTCTACACTGTTAATTATTCACAAGCTCCTGTTTGAGAACCTCTTGAGGATGGAGAAAGTTCAGCCTCAGGCCGTGGAGGCAGAAGAGAAGGTGAAAGGAAAACACAGAATGGAAAAAAGGAGATGGCAAAGAAGGTTGAGGAGGAAAAGTGCTCGCAATGAAGTGAAAGGTGAGAAGCAGAGGAATGAGACAGGAAAGTGCTGCCAGGAGTTGGATTTCAATGATCCTTGAGGGTTCCTTCCAGTTCAGGACATTCTGGGATTCTGTGATCCTAGGGAGGTCCAAGTGGCAGCTGCCCCCAAGCTGAAGGGTTAAAAACTCAACATGCAAGTAAAGCAACAGCCCAGCTCTGCAGGGAGCTGTTAGAGTGCCTGAGACCTTGCACACAAGGCTTTGCCAGCTCTTGCTCTGGCAAAATACATTTTGAATATACATTTTCAGAACTCTCAGCAGTCTTTGGCCCTGAGTGTCCTTCCCCCCTGCTGCAGCTGTGCCAGGAGGTGCTGCTGGGCCTGGCACCGAGCTGTTGCTGCATTTCCCGCAGGTGTTGTTGTGTGCCTGGTGAGCAATACTGGCACCGCTGTGGCCCTGGAGAGTTTGCAGTCTAAACAGACAAGGCAAACAGCAGCTGGGAGGAGGAACAGGGGGATGAGGCCACTTTCTCAGGGTCATCATGGAGCAGTCAGGAGCATAACTGTGTGATTTTCCCACAGGCACCAGATAAGGCTGCCTCCCTTCCTGGAACTCTGGGCTGTCGTGTCTCCCTCCCCTTTTGTCCATTGCTCTGTGACCTATCTACCATGGCTTCTTGTGAGGAATTTGAGGTGATTCTAAATTGATGTTCATCTGGTACTTAAGGGGTTTATTTCAAAGGTCTGCTAAAAGAGTGTGCAGTGGATGGAAAAGTTGCACAGATGGAATATCAGACCATGGGAATTTTTTCTCTGTTTTTTTTTGGTCTCATTGGGATTTTACAATTTTTGGAGCACGTCTTTGGATATAATAAATGGAGCAGATGGCTCAGTGTATGTGGAGAATTCAGTGCTTCCACCATGAGTAGCTGCACTGAAATAACAGAGACAGAAGTTTGGGGTTATTCCTTTCAGATTCAAACCATCTCTTCTCTGTAAGCCAGCCATGGGTGCCTTGTAATGGAGCTGCTTGCAGAAATATCTGTGCTAAATTTACCCTCTGAGGGTACCAGAGGTCTTATCACAGACGGCTGAAGTGACACTGAGAGTTTTGAGCTGTCCTAAACAAGAGCAGAGGCAAAGGAAGCTCTGCAAGTGCTGAGGAGCCGGGTGCTCAGTCCTGCTCCCATCAGGCATTGGCCAGAGCGGGCTGGGGCTGGGAAGCTGCTGTAAGACCAGAGGAATTCAAAGCAGTCACATAACAAGTCAGAAAAAGGGCTGTGTCCTGGCCAGCTCTGAGTGTACAGATCACAAGACAGCAGAGAATGTTCTGAATTGTTCCAAACCCAAATGCTTTTGTGTTAATGTGAAATATTTACCATTTTTCTTTTCAAATATCTGACCCAAGGCAGAACTCAGGTTGCTGCTAACCTGGGGTGCAAGCAGTAATAAACTGCTGAACATGTTCACAATGGAATGGAAAGGATATTTTTGGCTGTTGGGTTTTTTTGGTTTTTTTTTTAATGTTTTTGCATTGGACTATCAGGATTGCGCAAACAGAGGGAAAATCAATGGCATGGAGGGTGTAAATGTCAATAAATCATCTATAAATCCAATTTATAGAAAAACAGGTTGTGTTTAATGGAAAAAACAAATGGGATGGACTCCCCACATTCTGTAGAGCAGATCAATAAAACAATGAGGAGAGAAGAAGCCAGCTTGTTGGGAATTGCAGGGCTGTGTGTGACAGCTTCTGCCTGGAAACAGCCGAGGCTGCATTCCTGCTGCGGGGAGTTGGGAAAGAGCAGCTTGCTTGTAGATAAAGAGTGTTTGCTCACAGATCAAACAGCTCGAGGTGGGCCTGAGCTGGTGTTGAACTGAGCTTGAAAATATTTGGGTGGCTTGTGTCCAGCCCTGTTGCTACAGGGAGCACATGCAGAGAGCTGCAGAGGAGCTGCAGAATCTGAGAGAAATGGACAAGTGGAGGTTGGACAAGCAAATTTCTCCCAGTCCCCATTTGTGGTTTGTAAAAATGCTGTAAATAGGTGTAAGAGGAGAGAACCCAGAGCCTTCCCTTCTGTGGTCCCCTGAGGAAGCGTGGCTGGTGTCACCCTTGGTGGTGACACCCGTGACAGACACACAGGGAGGGAGCTTCCAGCAGAGCTGCCCGTGCTGGACCTTCAGGGATGGCCCCTGCAGGTCTGGCTGACCCAGCTCTCTGCTCCTCACACTCCTGTGCAGGTGTAAGTGCTGGTCTGCTCACAGCTTTCTGGGGCTGCCAGAACACCCTGGGAAGAGACACAGTTAAACTCACACTGCAAATGGAGCTGTGACCGTGTGCATGTGCCTTGTGAGAGCACAGCCCACTCCACAGGTAAAGGAATAAGCCACAGCAGCACAGACCCCGCTGTCTGGCTGCCCCACACCACACCACAGGCTTTGTTTCTTCATGTCAGTTCCTAAACAGCCCTGGGTGCAGAGGCACCAGGGCAGTGCCTGTGTAATTCACCTCCTGCAGCACCTTTCTCTGCACTGCACGTCTGGCTCTGATCAGCCAGCCAGGGTCACTCCAGTGAGTCTGAGAGCTCTTAAGGGAAGGCCCTGCCCTCTGCATTAACGTAATTGCAGGTTATTTGTGA